GGCTGTTTACAAAAATAACAGATATGAGCCAAAAAATAATATTGACATTTATAAATATTATTAATTTTAGTAGATTTATTAAGTAGTTATTTTTATTTTGTATAACTTTTATAGAAAATATAAAGTTTATTGAATATCCCGATGTTATTATATTCAATTATTTTTCCGACTTACTGCACTAGTTGGTTATAATTATTAATACAAAGATCGAACACCAAGAAAAGTTCCTCCGATCCATTCGAGCCAGAACCATCAGATTTTACGAATTTTTTCTATGTGCTCTTTGCAGATCTCTGTTTTTTATTTTAACGACTTTTTTGTCGTCACCAGTGAGAAATCTATGAAAGTGTTTCTTCACTCGGTCTGGTTTTTTCCGACTTCCAAAAATGGAGGAGGTTCTCAATTCTACTCGATAACTAATTTGTGAACCGATTTTGATGATTCTTTTTTTGTTGAAAAGAGTGTAGCAGTGGTCCTATTTCAATTTGAAGAAAATATTCCACCTCTAAGGGTGGCAAACTAGGGGATGAATGACTTTTGAGGTCGGTTTTTTAGTACTCTGTACTTAGATTATTCGTTAAGCCTATATCTGTTATTGCAACAACCCTTCCTCATTATGTAGACTAACTATCTATATATAAGATTCTCTTTCTGCAACCGCAAAATTGTGTTAGATTAATGCTTCTTACATAAAAGTAGAAGTAAGTAGCGGCATGTGTGTACTTTATAGAAAAGTTAAATTACTTAATACTGGGTGGTATGCAACGCAGGTAGCTCCTATTAACCGTATAGCAGCACCGTTGAATTTTAAATGTCGTGGCAGAGACATCCAATGCCAACATTAAAGCTGTTAAGGTTTTATATTTCCCACAATCAGGAAGGTGTTTCGTGATAATTGGGTCACTTCGTTAGAATAGCAAAAGTGTATAGCAACAGCCACGGTAGCCTAATGGAGTGACCTAACGCCTCTCTAGCATAGGCTATGGGTTCGAATCCGGGCCTGTATCTCTCAGATTTTCATAATTTTTGTGTGAAATTTACCATGAGCAATGATAAAAAACACCGTGATGAAACCTGCTTATTATATGTTGAAGAAGGTTCACAACCCTTGCAAAAAGTGTGAAGTCTCCAATCCAGATTGGGTCAGAGTAGCGGACTATGATCTAAACCCTCGCCTGAGAGGAGACTCGTGCCCAGCAGTGGGATGTATAAATAAGTTGATGGTGATGACGATGATCATAGCAACAGCATCGTCTTAGATTTAACACCTCGTATGTGATTTTATGTTTTTCATTAAAACTATGTCTTTAGGATGCTACGTAGCAGTAACACTAATGGCAATGTCTAGTGTACAATTATTTTATTTTATTTTATTTTATTTTTTATTTACTTTTAACAATAACAATGAGTGATTGTTTTTATCGTATAATACATTTGACGATGTCAAGTGTAATTTGTTTACCTATGAAATAAAACTACTTTGAGTGTGAGCTGTTGCGGTAACCGAAGTTCTGTAGTGCGTCTGTAATGTTTGCGGAAGCGTGGATGGAATACTTTTCTGCCGTAGTAAGGCACCTCATAGATTTTACGCAATCTTTGTTTAAAATAATTTACTAACATAGTTTACAAGCCTGTTAATAATCTAATATGGATTTACGTTGTCCGAAAATAAATAAATTATTATTATTAAAATGTGGTGAAAAAAATAGTAAAACAGTAATGTTTGTAGTTAGTATGTTAATTAGTTACATTATACCTTCTAACACACAATGAAAAACAAACAATGTAAAAATGGTTTATGCGCGGTTTTCACTCGAAATCGACAACCATACTACTACTTTTTTGGACAGCAAACGAATTTATTTAATACTCTATTTTTTTTTTAAATATAGGTAGTCTAGCAGAGACCACCTGAGAACTTGAAAATACGTCTACTTTAACATAATGAAATTGATATTTTGATAATCTACAGGTGAGGTATAATAAAAGCTTAAATACTAAAAAGTAAAGCTAGGATTTTTAAATCATATGAATAAAAGTGGGTCCACGCGGCAAGGTGCCCAAGATGCTGGCAGCGTTCCCCCTTTGTATGGCTATGCTAATGCATTGGGCAAGGTAGCTGCCGGCCCTTGGGATTCCCAGACAGTCTAGTAATTTTTACGGTAGAATTTTGTACAGATGAAGGGCACCGGAACCCCACACGCCAAGGATTTCGACTCCAAAGGCTGTAAATAGGTAGTCGGAGCCGAGATCCTGGTACTTATTACTTTTTATTCTTTCCGCCAGCTCAGCTGCGGAGCCAGCTCTCTTGCTGGTGTGCTGGAGATGGGATGAGGCAAGTGTGTTGGCACATGTACTTTAACTATTTATAAAAGACCAGCAAAATACGGTATATTTTTAACTCATTATTATTTAGAGGCTTCATTATTCAACTCGTCAGCCATATTAGAAACAAATAGATACGGCAAAATACCATCCCTAACCAATATATACAAATTCTTAGCGACATTAATTGTTGTCTCAGACAAAACGGATTAAAACCACCCAACATTAAATATATCAAAACGAACCTGTGCAAATTACCGCAACCTGGATTCATCTCCGAACATACTCCATGAGAAAATGATGTTCATACATCCTCAAGAATTTCACACACTTCGCAATTTGGAGAATTCATCCTCGTCATGGAATACAATAATTAGTTTAACAGAACTTTTTTCATGAAACCAAGTGACAGGACGAACAAGTCGTGCGCCTGGTGTTAAGTGACACGTTTGTACATAGCAGTTGCAGTGACACACAGAGCTTTGAATCGCAAGGATCTGAACGAGTTACCCAGGGACATAACGTGACAAGTCCCACAGTCCCAAGTGCCGGTAATTTTACCAGCACCCTTACCCTTCAAAACCGGAACACAGTAATGCTCACATTACTGCTTGGCGGCTGAAATAGGTAAACGCAGTACTTCCCTGGACAAACTCTTTGACAAGGAGCTATACTGCTGTCGTATACGTATCCGGATTGAAGGCTATACGCACTGACAATTTGATCCCTGCTTAATGTTACGTGGCTAAACCAAAGAACACTAGATCACACTGCATTTTTTTGTACCAGCTTCTTTAAATCCTGTCCTGTCAATCAATAAAGTAATTTTCACAACTAATACCCATAACAAAACTCTCCCTAACAAAATTCAAACAACGGCTGCACGGTGTGCCTACCCCTAAAATGAGAGTAGACAAAAAATGTAATAAAACTGACCGCGAGTACGTGACCGCGGCGCCCTATACCGAGATAAATCTCACACATGTTTAATATTTTATAAGAGAAAACGTGATGAATATCACTCAGGACGCAATATAAAAATTAATAAGGGGTAAGAAACTTTTCCTCCTTTTTTCGAACAACATATGAAAATAACTCGTGTTTCTGAGCAGATTTAAGCAGTGGAAAATGTAAAGAATTACAAAATACGGTATCTATAATAGTTAAAAGCCGGACAAATATGATAAATATATATATTCCATCAGTGCTACGCATTGACTTACAAATAAATGGACGACGGGTCTAATACAAAAACCACGAAAAAAATGTCCCAAGTCAACCTATTCGAAATTTAAATTGTAATGTCATCGCAGTATCGCGCTGTCCGTAGAACAAATGAAGACTAAAGCGGAGTGTCGCGCTCTGTATACGATTTTAGCGCCTTACAAGTGCGGACACTTTTTAGCGCGGACCCGACGTCCATATAATTGTAAGTCAATGGTGCTACGTAATAAATCGCAAACGAAAACAAATGCTGTCCTAACTCACAATTGTGAAATTAAAAAAAAAAAATATCCCACGAAACAAACATACACACCTCAAAAGTGTCAAAGGATCAAGCACGTTTTTGCCAACTGCTCTAAATCAGGATTTTTAATTATTTTTATATTATTGGTCAATTTTATAATTTGAATTTGAAAATTAAATTATCCAACAAAAATCCCTTGATATAAAAAAAAATCGTCAAAAATCTGATCGTGAGTAATTAGCATTTTTTTTATAATACCAACTGACGGGACGAACAAGTCGTGCGTCTGATGGTAAGCTACACGCCTGTCCATAACAGTTGCAGAGCCACGCATAGCTTTAAATCGTAAAGATCTGAGGGGCACTGCCACTGCGCCCGACACCTTGAGACATGAGTTGATAAGTCCCTTGTGCCTGTAATTTTACCAGCACCATTACCCTTCAAAACCGGAACACATTAATGCTAATATTACTACTCCCCTGGACGAACTCTTTCACAAGGAGCTCTACTGCTACTAAACGTATAAATGTATACGTAGCACAGTAAACGTGCTTGATCTTAATTCCAGAATTTTGAATTACGACAGTATTTGATTTCGTGTGCGAAATAGGTGTAGTTTGGCTTTGATATCATTATGAGATATTATTACAAGCAATCACAGTAATGTTATGCCCTTGTCAGTGTAGTCAACACCAAGAAATCATATTTGACATATTAACCGACTTGAAAAAAGAAGGAGGTTATCAATTCGTCTATATATTTTTTGCAAGTATGTTACGCTACAACTCCAGAATTTGCAAACCGATTTTAATGATTTTTTTTTATTGGAAAGAGGGGTACCTCAGTAGTAGTCCCACTTAATTTTCAAGAAAATATTCCACCACTAGGGTGGCAAACTAGTAGATGAAATCGCAAAATAGATGTAATTCCAAGCAATTTTGAGGTCGGTTTTTTAGTACTCTGTGCTGAGAATATAAACATCCAATTGCGTCCGTCACCCTGAGACATAAGTTGATAAGTTCTATATGCCTGTCATTCCACCAGCACTCTTACCTTTCAAAACCGGAACGCAGTAGTACTCATACTACTGCTTAGGGGCAGAAATAAGGTGACTGTACCTCCTTGGACGAACTCTTTTACAAGCAGGTCTACTGCTACTAAAAACTATCTACATACTATGAAAGTTACTACTTACCGTAGAATTCAGTTCACCCTTAGCACCGTTCAGTCTAATGTAGAACTGAGCTGGTTTGTCGACTTGCGCGCCATCAGGGAACTGAGCTACTTCCAGGAGGTGAGCGTCACCAACAGGCGGAGAGCAATAGACCCTGAACGGAGAGTCAGGGATGTGTTGCTCGTTGAACTTCAGACCGATGCGATATTCACCTGGAAAAAAGCATGACGGTGTATAGAAAGCAACAATTTTAAATCTGGTATAGGTATACTGATTAACGGTAGGCGACGTTTTTTGTAATATGAATAAAGAAGGATGGCGACATTCCGTGTATTTTGTGACCCAGTGTTTTTGAAGACATGCATTAAGGAAACCTATCAATATTTGTGATTCATCAAAGCATCAAAAAAGCTAATTGAGAAATGCTTGTAGAAGCTGGGGTTATAAAGTTGATATAGGTTATGTTTATAACATTGTCCTATATTTCGCTTCAGATGTTTGTTCGTAGTAGCAGAAAACAACAAGTTTTCAGTTTGTTCCCAAAAATAATAAAGAACTTCCCGAATATTCCCAAATCTGCCAAATCCTGCATCATTTAATATGACTTATTATGTTCCGCAGCAATAAAAATTAATAAAAATTAAATTTACCCAAATAGCAGAAATCTGCCACAAATGGTCACACTGTTCTCAATATCAATGTGACATGATTCGCTCTGGACCTTTTGGAGGGAAAAGTGTCGTTTTTATTTTGACTTTCAATTATTTTGTGAAATCTAGTTTAAAGTGGAATAGGATAGTGCTATTGTGCCTTAATCGAAGATTAAAACGCGAAATTATACGAATCTCGAACTAAAATACCTGTATCGGCCCGTTTTAAGGAATCCCGAGTCAATCTAAGCACGCCGCCTCAAATTGCCTATCCTCTTTGTGGCGGCCATATTTACAGAAACATAATTAAACTTCATGTTTAGGCAGATGGCTTTGCCAAAGCCTTAATAAATTTAAAAAAAAAATCAATGTGACATTGACATTGGCAAGAGGTCTCTTGTCAAAACGTTCCTTTGTAACTTTCATTATCACACATTCAAATATTGTCTAAATATTTTTGTCACATTCTGTTTTATTTTTTGGTTTATGTCCTTACTGTTTAATTTATTATTTCATTAGGTATTTTATAGCTTTAATGTTTTATGCGTGTACTATAAAATAACCAATACTTCAGGTAGGTAAACATTCAATCATGCTCAAAATTAAACGTACTTACAAGAACGTTACTTAATCTATGGTCGAATTGAATTAATTGCGTTGTGTTCTTGCATCTATTCTAAAATACAATGTTTTACAATATATTTATTTTATTCTACAGACTTCTAAAAATATACATAAATATATTGAGAACTAGGCATAAACTAAAACGCAAAATAATAATAGCAAAATCCATGAATGGCACTTTGTTGTTATTGGGGCAGCTTTCGCTATCCTTCTTTCTATAAACTACGGCCCTGTGGCCCGGTTCAAAGGTAGAATTTAATCAGTACCACGATTTTAGGTGTAATTGGGCAATTATTATTTCTTTTATGGGGGCCACTAGGCTTGTGCCAGTGTCAGTTTTTTAAGAATAATATAAAAATCTTATGCATAAAATCAAGATTATTTGACTTTCGTTTTGTGACACAGTGACGGCGTCCATGGTCGGATGGCTTGCATACCGACTTTCACGGTGTTGCTATCTCTACGGTCTCGGGTTCGATCCTCGGCCGGGTCAATGTAAAATATAACTTTTCTATATTGTCTAGGGTCTGGGTATTTGTGGCAGAGCAACGTATGTAATGTGGTCTATTATTTTTAGAGAAGTACTGCCATCTTACCCATTTCTGTCGCTGAACAGTAATGTGAACATTACTGCGTTCCGGTTTCAAAGGGTAAGCAAGGGTCCTGGTGAAATTACAGGGACAGAAGACTTGTCAACTTTATGTCTGTCACCCTGAGGCACAGTGGCAGTGATCCTCAGATGTTTGCGATGGAAAGCTCTAAGTGACACTGCACCTATCATGGACAAGCGTGTCGCTTACTACCAGGCGCACGACTTATTCGTCCGAAGTTTTCCTGGACGAACTATTTCTACTCTACTGTTACTATAATTATCTATTTCATACTAATATATAATTGAAAATTATTTCTCGATCATTAATTTGGTAAAATAAGGTTAATATTTAAACCGACGTTATAATTACATTCGTTTATTTCCGTAAAACCATTCCGACGGATTGGAGACTACGAGTTTTCAAAGGACTGTGCCTTCTTCGACGTCGATTTTTCATCATGTATTCCTTAATAATTAACAAAAAGTATTTCCACCAAGTAAACATTCGCAAACATTTCTTATTATTCATGCAAAATAAGTTTAAACGACTTAATCAAACTCAGTATCACCATACCATCAAAAGCTCTAACTCTTTCAAAGTCCCGACAAATGTACTAATAAATTTGCACAGTGGTCTAAAAACCCGTCGCGATTGGACTAAAAACATCATTAAAATTGCCCGAAAAAACCGCCATCGGGAGAAAACGTCAGTCAATCTGAATAACGGGCTAACGATGTCACTGGGCTACAAGATGTAGGAATATAGATTATGGGAGCAACTATAGCACGTCCACGACCACTGAAACTCGCCTTTAAAAAGAAAATTATAAAAGAAAAAAATATTTTTTTGAAGAACAAGTCGTAAGCCTGGCCATGACAATGTCACAGCTTTAGGTCGCAAAGATTTAAGGCGCACTGCCACTGCGCCCGTAACCCTGAGACTGCAATTTCACCAGCACCTTTATACCCTTTAAAATCGGAACACAGTAATGTTGACATTACTGCCTGGCGGCAAAAATAGGTAAGGTGGCAGTATTACCCTGGACGAACTCTTTCACAAGGACCTCTACTGCTACTAAAATAGATCTTTGTACTGGCTTTCGGCATTCGTCGCCACTAGTGACATCTAGTGAGAGATTTGGTACCTTCTCACCGCTTTCTATATATTCGATATTTGTATTAATATTCTTAACGAAACTAGTGAAGTTCTTTCACAAAAGTCTCAATAAAACTAGTTTAACCATCTATTTAATAGAACATTATATATACTCCCTCTAAGTCCTAGACGATTTCCCATCTCCACCTAACCAATATTTCTTCCCAAGCTTCTTGAGGAAATTTAAATTTTTACATCGTCATTTTTTCCATACGCCGTTTGTACGTCCCGGTGGGCGTATGTATCAGATTTATTTGTTACAAACTCTTTTTTGGACAGTTTTTTGTTGATTGCATAAAAAATTTCCTCGTTTTTAGAACGCTTCTTTGGATATCGTTGTGTTTTTTCAAATTATTTGGAGGCCGGTTGCAAGGGAGGATTAAAATGCCGCTGAAATAGTAATATAACAGTTGTCATTAACCTTATACGAGAAGGGCACTATGTTCGTACGGGTTCGCTCGTACACCTCTGAGTCAGGTCCTAACCCCGGGTCGGCACGTTTGCACGGACTTCATCCGGTTATCTGTAAGGCTAGTGCCTTAGATGAGCCGCCCCGGAGACACGTACAGCTTCCTCCCTATTTTCCGGATAGGTACCGGAGCTGTAGACACGCTCACTTCCCGTCACACTCCGTACGACTAACGGTTGCCAACGACTACCAAATCTCCTCATTGATTGGTGACAGAGCTGTAAGCCACGCTCACTTCCCGACACCTAAAAACGACGTCTCTCCAGTTCCCAATAACCTAATCGGCTGGAGGGACCGCAGTTCTCTGGGCTAGTGCCGGAGATGCTAATCGCAGTGCCCTGCGACAATGTACAGACATAGCTTCCAACTTAAAGGGCAACTCACGTGCCCCGCGCGTCTCCTCACTTCAGGCCCTCAACTAGACCGCTATTAAGACGCGCTAGCTGCTCACGAGACAGACGCCCCGGCCACACCCGACCGGGGCAAACAAACATATCCGTCTCTGCAGCTAACCACAAAACCCAGCGAGTCCATGCCCAAGTCCGGGTCGACCAGAGACGCCCGCAATATATATATAATATGCCGCAAAGGCGTATCACTGGTGGAGGACTTAGCCCGGATGCCCGCTGTACCCTGGACTTGCCGTCGAGCCCGTAGTCTCTCCGGAATACCCTATCTTTCGGGTCGGTTAGGTCTTTAACAGTAGTAGCAGTAGAGCTCCTTGTGAAAGAGTTCGTCCAGGGAAGTACTGCCACCTTACCTATTTCTGTCACCAAGCAGTAATGTGAGCATTGTTGTGTTTCGGTTTTAAAGGGCGCTGCTGAAAAGTATTACGGTAAGTAACGAATTTCAAACCTACTGCAGCTAGAATGATCTTCAATCTCCCATCTTTCGGATAATTTTAGCATTCCCTTTTCACAATTCCTGTCTTTACTTATAAAACACATCTCTAAGTATCGTTTGATGGTGTCTCCATTATCGAAGCCGGTATATATAAAGAGTTTTGTAAAGATCAATAAAATAAAATTTTAGCAGCAGAAGACCTCCTTATGAAAGAGGTCGTCCAGGGAACTACTGCCACCTTACATATTTTTGCCGCCACGCCCGAAATGTGAGCATGAATGTGTTCCGGTTTTGAATGGTATGGGTGCTGGTGAAATTATAGACACATTAGATTGTCAACTTATGTCTCAGGTTGACGGGTGCAGTGGCAGTGCCTCTCAGATCTTTGTGATTTAAAGCTTTAAGTGGCACTGCAACTGTTATGGACAGATGTGTCGCTTACCTCCAGGCCCACAACTTGTTCGTCCCGTCACTTGATATCATAAAAAAAATTACGTTAATAATTGACGTTTTTAATTTAAGAAGATCTGAAGTACCTTCAAGTAGTATAAGCAATCTGATTCAATAGAACTGTCACATTATCTTTAAATAGGCCGTTAGTAAACAAAGATTAAAGAATTTCCGTTCAACTTGGCCTCTGTGAAACAAATAATGATGTAGGCCCTATGCAAAACAATGGTATTGACATGTTACCGAAGTCCCGGGTTCGACGCCCGCTCGCTTCCTTCAGTTTCTTGTTAACGACCAAGAAACATATTTCACTTTTTATATAAAGATCCAAATTTATTATTTCTTGAATATATATTGTAGTATATGAAACTAAACTCAAGCAGATGCCGTGGGTTCGAGTCCGCGAGTCCGGACTCGAACCCACGGCA